GAAACGCACTTCGAAGTGCGGTTAGGAAAAAATTAATTAAAACGCACTTCGAAGTGCGGTATTAATGAAGGGTAAAAAAGTAAAATTGGGGGTGCAGGATGAAGGCAGTGAGGTGTAGGAAGAATCACTCATCCCACAATTACTAACTTCGCTTCAACAATAAAATAAAAAAACTTAAAAACTCCTTACTATCATCACTATCGTCACCATCATCTTGCCGCCACTTTTATCACCACCAGTAGAGCTGTTAAAACTGGTAACCCAGTTCGATCCGGTCTGGTCCACCATGGGTTTGTCATTTAGTGAGTTAACACAACCCAGCTCACTTATTAGCAAGCTGAAAAAATTTGAACCCGGCTTAACCCACCACGAGTTGATGGGTTAAACGGGTTGGCTCACTAACTCATTTAATTATAAGTTCTTTTTAAATAAAAAAAATTATAACTTCTTTTAATTTAAATCTAAATAAATTTCGCTATAAAATGATGTTAAAATCCAAAAACAATTCAAAATAAAAAAAATATGATACAATCCAAGTGTAATCCAAAAAACAAGCACAAAAGTCAAACAAATAAGTCTTTAATATTGATAATTTTTGTATCACTTGTCCATTTGTAATATTATAGTCTTGAATAGATACATCTATAATAGTTTTCTCTCTTGAAGCATTTTTTTATCCCATCTACAATATAATAAAAAAATGTTAACTAATAATATTAAAACACAAAATAATAAATAATTAAATTAAATTAGGTGATTGGTGAGCCTCGACTCACCACGGGTTCAACCCGGCGAGCCGGGTTCTAAGTGAGTCGGGTTGAAAACTAACCCACATAAAAAAAATTACATTTTTTTCAAACCCCTGTTGAGTCGGGTTAGCTCGCGAGTTACAACTCATTTTGACAACACTAACCGTCAGTAACAAAGATAAATAATAAAAAAAAACTCTCCAGAAGAAGAAAAAGACCGAAAAAAAAAACTCTTTCTGAAAATCCTTTGTAAAACATATTTCATATATTTCAGAAATTTTGAAACTTCCTAAATGTATTTTATGTAGAGATATATTATTACTTTTTCCTTTCATGAAAATGTATGCGAAGAAATTTATCAAAATAGACTCTTAAATATAAATAATGTAAACACCTACAAAATAGAATAATAGAGTAGATAGAGGTATTAAAATAACTGAACTGAACTTTTAATGTTGAAATACATCAACCGTATAAATAGAAATTTTTAAACACTCAGTTCATAATCTTAAAACTGTTTATCTCTCTAGAACCACTATTTCCTAATTTTCCTCTCCCTTCTCTCCAGATTTCTTCACCCATAGTTCATCACTTCAGTAATCAGGGGGCACCTGAGTGATTCTGGCATCACAAGCTTTCTATTCCACCGATCAATTTCGTGTTTAGAGCGGGTAAGTGTCGTTCCTTAAATTCTAGTGAATTTATGGGATTTCTGGTACATGCAAGAAAGCTTTGTTATTAGCATGAGTTTAACAATATTATCTTCCCTNTTTGTAAAACATATTTCATATATTTCAGAAATTTTGAAACTTCCTAAATGTATTTTATGTAGAGATATATTATTACTTTTTCCTTTCATGAAAATGTATGCGAAGAAATTTATCAAAATAGACTCTTAAATATAAATAATGTAAACACCTACAAAATAGAATAATAGAGTAGATAGAGGTATTAAAATAACTGAACTGAACTTTTAATGTTGAAATACATCAACCGTATAAATAGAAATTTTTAAACACTCAGTTCATAATCTTAAAACTGTTTATCTCTCTAGAACCACTATTTCCTAATTTTCCTCTCCCTTCTCTCCAGATTTCTTCACCCATAGTTCATCACTTCAGTAATCAGGGGGCACCTGAGTGATTCTGGCATCACAAGCTTTCTATTCCACCGATCAATTTCGTGTTTAGAGCGGGTAAGTGTCGTTCCTTAAATTCTAGTGAATTTATGGGATTTCTGGTACATGCAAGAAAGCTTTGTTATTAGCATGAGTTTAACAATATTATCTTCCCTTTTCTAACTTCATTTTGGTCCTTTGGGTGGTCTCTTATCACCATTCTTTTTTGTTCTTTATGATCTTCTTTTGTTAATTCATTATTTTTGGTGTACCATTAGTGATTTTAATGTCATTCTTTGTGTTAAGGATGTGAAGGGTGGTGTTGTCCCTAGTTTATTTTTTAGGTTGAATTTTCGAATTGGATCAATTCCGATGAGTTTGTTGTGGTTCAATCTTCTAGATCTTATTACACCTAGTTAAACTTTTAAAGAGGTATACATCGTACTGATAGGAGACTTGATAGAACTTTTTGTAATTTTCTTTGACTTAAGCATTTCCTTTGTCTTAAGCATAGTCAAACAGGGGTAATTAACTCTATTAAATACTCATCTTTACAATGAAATCACTTAATACATCCTACAGTAATCGTGATGCATACTTCGCGATTGTATTAATGTTAGTTGTGAATGAATCCTAATTTTTCAAATTGAATCTCAAACATGTGTAATTGATTCTCAATTTTAATGAACTCCTACAATTTTATAATGAAGTTTTTCCAATTTCAATCCCTAATTCAAACAATTTAAATTTCTAATTCATTCACAATATTTAATTCATTCTTCACAATTTCTATTTCTAAAAATAAAATAAAATATCCACATTAGAATCACATACATCAAATCAAATAATAGAGTCTACCTCAATTAAAACATAATTTACTATGTCATGTCAACCATAGACTAACATGGGTCCAATTTTAAACTAATAATTTAACTGTTAAAATTTCTACAAAATAAAAACACAATTTAAATACAGAATAAGAATATGACCTATTTGATATTCTAAATGAAAATATGAAATACTTCCAATTCAAGATTTCAGCAAAGATTATTTTAGTAAAGTTTTTTCAACATTAACATAATTATCATATTTAATCCTAAAACTTGTGATAGAAAACACAGATAAATAAGATTGGATAAAAACTAAGAAGGACAGATTACACAAAACCTCAAACAAAACAAGGAAAAACACTTCTCTTACCGAGACCTATCGATTCCAGAGTCCTTCTTACATAATAAACTTTTCTTCTTTCAAAATTTTGATTTTCTAAACTCATCAGAGTTCATAACTCCTACGAACACTAAAAAAATAATTACAAACACATCAGAGTTCAAAACGCAAAAGCCAATTCTTGCTACGAATCACACGTCCTCTATTTGCACAATTAAAAGCTCTTTTCTCGAACAATCTCATCCCAATCAGGTAGAAAGAACAAACATTGACAGCTGCAAATTCAGCTTGTTGTATGCTAAGTGAATTAGCATCAGAATCCTCATACAACCCAGTCACTAGTCTCCTTCTTCCAAGATCAAACCCAAGAACTTCAAGAGCGAGTTTATCAACACCACAAGTTCTCAAATGAGGCATGCCCAATACATCAGCAGCCAATGGCCCTAATTCCACGGCATTTCTGCATCTAATTCCAAACTGCGTCTCCAACATTTCCATCTTTCCCTTAATGCCAACGCCAACAAAGTAAGGTGCGGCCAACAAAGAAAATTCATCAGTGATTCGGGAATCGAATTCAGATCGAGCAAAGGAACAATAATACATGTAAATTCATCACAAAGGTATAATGTGTTACTTTTGCCTATATCCAAACCGACAACCTTGAATAAACAGTCACGAACAACAAAGTCTAGAGCACCATCGATACCCTCTTTACTCCTTAATACATAAGTTGTAATCCGATTTCCATTCACAACAATTTCATTCGCGGAATCCATCGAAACAAGTTGGAAAAGAGTGCTATTAGCTAAAGACTATCCTGGCTTCATTCACAAAACAAAGGTAAGGGCTATATATAGAGATACAGAATGAGTTCACCTTTGTAACACACTAGAACAATCTCATGCATCGAGTTTGATGCAGGAAGCTCAAGGGACTTAACCAAACACCATCGTGAAATACAACCGCCTGAGGAGGGAAATCAATTCTAGCTTAAATGCATCATATTATCTTTGCTTAGTTCCAAGATATTATTTATATCAGATTTATTATCCGTCGCTTGAAGTTTCCAAAGAAGAAATCGTTCCAAAAGATAAATAAAAAAGGTACATGTTCGCTTTTAAAATATCAAAAGATTGAAAGAAAAAATAGAGTAATTGTTTACTTTTAAAAATATATATAAACTATAAAGTATTTTATTTTCCATTTTAAATTTTAAATATTTATTCAACATCTCTTCCTCTTTCATAACGCAATTTAACAATTTTAGAAGAAAATTTATTTATCTGTGAACTTAAAAGATTAAAATAAAATTTTAATCATAACTTTTGTAACTCATGTCGATAAAATTCTTAATCACAAGTTTTTTAGTTTGAAGGTTACATTAAGTGCAAAACAAATGAAATAGACTATAAAAGAATAAATGAGAAATAACATCTCGGCATTAGTAATCATGATAAAATTAATACAATTAATCAAGGATTAAGTAAACAAGTCAAGTAATACTAAAAAATGTTACTTATAAATAGTTCATGATAAATGTTCATGATAATATTATAAATAGTATGGTTTATGAAATAATATTTACGTATTTAATATTGTGTTTATTGATTGTTTATACAAATACATTAATTAAGTGTCAGAGTGTTATTGTAGGCATCTCGCACTTCTAACCTAGAAAGTACTCGAATTAGAAGGAAACATCTTGTCATTTATGTAAAAAGACTTAGTACATCTCGGTCGTTTGTAGCGGAGGAATATTTCTAAAGGACATGTATTTTTTTGTTTACTTAAGAAAAATAAGAAGTTAATTTGAAACAAAATCAAAGGAAAAAAGAGATATGAAAGACAAAATCATTTGAGCCTAATTAACTTGAATCCAAGGACTTTTCTTCCTATACCCCCATTTTTCTTCTTGCACCCTATTAAAATTACCAACTTTAGCCCTAAGTCAAAGTCAAAACCTTATATATCTCTCCTTTTCATTTTACCTTGGTCCCCTCCATCATTCTACACCTTTATCTTCCACCTTTTCCTACACCTTCATCTCCTATGTCTCTCTATACCTTCTTTGATCTTGATTGTCATTACACCTCCTTTTAGGTTAGTGACTAAAATGTCTTCTGGAACATCAATCAGAACAATATTTTTATAATTATTCTGAAATACTTTTTTGAACACTCGATCTAAAAAGTATAAAAAAAGAGACATTTGGATGTTTTGGTAGGTATTTTCCTATTCGAAAATGCCTTCTAAAATACCAAATCAGGTTAATTTTTTATATTTCAAATTGAGGCTTTTGAAGACATTTTTTTGAATCCAGAAATATATTATGAAACATCCAATCTGAATTATAAAAGAAACATCCAGATTTAGTGTTCTGAAAGGTATTTCTATATCTTGAAATATTTTTTGGAACTCCCAGTCTAAAATGTTTTTTTTTTATATTTTTTGGAATAGATGTTTCAAAAGACATTTCCGAATCTACAAATACCTTTTGAAACATCTAATTTTAAATATAAAAATATTTTTAAAATTTAAAAACATCTTTTGAAATAGTCAATCTGAAAGGTTATCTTTCGGAGAATTGCAGGGAGTTGTATTCTTAACCTTCATGCCCTCTTCTCTTAATATAGTAACAGGTCAGGTCGATATAGAAAATACCTATTCACAATTTGATCCGAAAAAAAAAATCATTCTTTATCTAGGATTGAGTAAAATTAACTAAGTTATACTAAATTATAATTAATTAAATAATTAATTATACTATAATAAACTAAAAAAAAACTGAACTAGTTAATATAATATCCAAACTGTATTGTTTTATAGTTCAATTTTAAAAAACTAAACTTATATCAATTAACTAATAACTAAATTATACTATCCATTCAATCATGCAGTAACTAAAACATATATCTAAACTAAACTTTACATTCAAACATAAGCTTAATGTGAGTTTCAAAAAGCGATAAATATATAATTACAAACTTTAAATTGTGGAATTGAAGATATTATTTAAAATACTATTTATTTTATATTTAAAATAATAAAATGGTATATTTAAAGATATTGTTTTATACTTAAAATAATAAAATAAATAGTATTTGAAGAAGAATATCTACTTTATTTGTGTAATTTATTCACTTTCTTAATTGGTGAATAATTAAGATTATAAAAAAATTAATATGAAGCACAGTGAACTTTTAACATTTGAATTTAATCACAACTGAATTTGTTAAGTAAATTAGCCTATAAATCTGAATTATTGTGTCTTGATCTTTATTAATATTATTAATATTGTAAATAATTATTTAAGTTCATAACCTTTCAATACTTACCGTAAGTTTATAAAATGCATAACAACCAATAAGTATGGAAAACAATTATTTATGTAGCTGATAGCATACTTAATCTTTCAATACAAAATTCAATTCAGTTATTAGTTAACTAATATAGTTCAGTTTTTAAAAAAATTGAACTTTTAAACAATACAATTTAAATATTATATTAAATAGTTCAATTTTATTAGTTCATTAAAAATATAGTTAACTATAGTTTAGAACAGTTTAGTATACTATACTCAGCCTTACTGTTATCTGATCCACTAACCGCACGGATACCCGCTTAAAAATACTCGCAGATATTTTAAAACTCTCAAATATTCGTAAATACCCGAGGATACCCACAAATATTTAAAAAAATATTTTTATAAATTATTAAAATAAAATATATAAAATATAATATAAATTAAATTAAATATAAAATAAAATTGAATTTAATTTTAGTTAAATTTAACCTTATGAAATACAAATTAATGTTAATTTTAGTTAAATTTAACTTAATAAAATATAAATTATATTTTTATTTTTATTTTTTTGTGGGTAGCGGATATCCGCGGGTACGAATAGTATAATACTCGCACTCGATCCATTTATAGCAATATTAAAATACCTGCTACCCGCAACCCACAAATAATAAATATCCACGAGTATTAACTCTCTGTCACGTGTTTTATCTGCGAATATCCACATGCACAAATTTTTTTACCATTCTAAGCCCTCTAATTCTTCCTTAACCCTTTTCATGCATCACCATATTCATATAAAGGTACATTGAAAATCAAGATTGAAGGAAATGTATAGAGATGTAAGAGATGGAGGTGCGGGTAGATGCATGGGAATGCAAAGGGGAGGGAAGTGGAAGAACTACGGAATGTGAAGGAAGGTGCAACCACTCACACACAGATGTTGTAGGGAGGTGCAAGAACTCATATAGAAGAATGGAGGTGCATGAACACGTTATTGAGAGGGAAAGATGTAGTGTAAGCGAGAAAACTGAAAAGGGGAGATGTTTAGGATTTTGACCTTGACAAAGTGGTAAGGTTGGTATTTTAATTTAATTTTGGAAGGTGCATGAAGAAAAAATGGTGGTGCAAGAAGAAAATCCCGAATCGAAACCTATTTGGTCACATGGCTATTTCATCCCACACCTCTAACATCTCATCCTCACCTCCAAAAATTCAATTTTTAATTTTTTAACATCTCATTCTACACTTTCAACTTTTTCAAAAGTTTTATTTTTAACTTTAATAAATACCTCTTCATCTTCTTCTCTTTTTTATTATTAAAAGCATTCTACACCACTTAATAATAATTTAATTTAATTTAAAATTCAAATATTATTTAATATAATTTTATATTTTAATAATGATTAAAATATGATTTATATTTTAAGAATAGTTATATTAAAATATAAAAATAAAATAATTAAAATAAAAATAAAATTATATTAAATAAAATATTTAATATATTTAAATATTTAAATTATATTAAAATATTAAATTAAATTAAATAATTATTAAAATTTAAATATAGACCTTTTAGAAACAATTATTTATCGATATTCGTAGCATAAGGTAACGGATTTCTTTAACAAATTCTTTTAAAATTTTGTTTTTGTTTAAATTTTAATAATTATTTAATTTAATTTAATATTTTAATATAATTTAATATATTTAAATATATTAAATGTTATTGTAAACTTTATTTTTATTTTTGTTATTATTACTTTTATTTTAGTTATTATTATTTAAATTTTTTTAAAAAAACTATTATAAAAATATAAATCATATTTTAACAGCGTATAACGTCCCACGTTCAACGTCAAACCACTAAATAATCAATGTTAAAAATGACCGATGTCAGTTTTGTAAATAAATGCAATTATTAAACGTCGTTTTTAATTGTAATTCGATGTAAAATGATATAAAACGTCGAGTACCAAAGCGTTTCACATCAAAAGCTTAGTGAATTCAATAACCCTCGTCACATGTGAAGAGTTGTGTGATTTTATTTATTCCTTAGTTAGTCTATTTAGCATACTACATGCAAAATATTAGACAAATAATAATGCCTTTATAGCCCATAATATTGTGTCTAAGTCTATGCAACTTTTTATAAGATCTTTAACCATTCAAAAGTCATCCTTTCCACCCTCCTGTACCAAGTGTCCTTCCTTTCCTTATTTAGCCTCTGTTCGTTTGAGGTGATTTACTGTAGAAGTGAATTTGAAAAGATGGATTTGCAAAGTAAATTGTGTTCGGTGGGACTGATTTGCGATGATAGATAAGCACTTCATAGGACTGATTTGCGAGGA